AATCTCTGTGAATGATGGTCAAGTCTATTCTCCATGGAGATCTGGGACAGCCGTGCCGGAGCGTTCGTTGACTGGAGGAAGTGGAGTGGTCCCAGACTAGTCTGGTACTATTCTCCCGCACCCGAAGGGATAGAACGCCTGGTAGGCTTGGAGCAGAGTGAAAATCCTCCTAGGTAGGTTGAGCACAGCTCATAATAGAAGGGATTACTACTACCGCGCTGCTTCCTCAATGAAGATTAAATCTAGGTTTTAAAAACCTCTAATGCAAGTCAGACAGCCCGTAAATACCAGCGACGGACTTGGGTACATCGGGATATACGAAATACGATCCTTAACGAACAATTAACCAGATTAGAATCTCAACGTGGTGGAGCAACAGAACTTGCGTCTTGTATGGGAAAATTTGTAGGCCGTAACGGCTTTTATTTCGATTAATGAAGCTCACGGTAAACAGAGGTACGGTGGTTGAAGCTTGAAACTGGTTGTTACTTTCGCACCGAATGAGTGAACATCTATTTATGTGGGTCTATAACTGGTCAAAAATGGATGCGATTTTGCAACCTTTTGTGTTTTGTGATACTAAGCGTAATGTACTGCATGTAATTGCAGCAAATCTCCTTATACCACAGGCAGAAACGAATCGGTTCCCATGAACATAGATTTCTAGAAATTCAACCGAAGTGTCACCCTTCTGAATTAGCTGACGAAGTGGACAAGCACTGGTTTAACTTAACTAACATTTGAAGGACAATGTCACCAGCAAAACGCAGATGCCAACCAGTGGCTGTTAAGAAGATCAGAGTAGGAGTTGTAGGTCACCTACAGGGGTAGGTCTTTCTGGATATCCCGATTGGTTGCCGGAAAGCCGCCATGTTGTTCTACTAATTACTGGTGTACCGGTCAATGTTCTTCATGTTTTACATTTGGGAATGTAGTGCTGTTGTACCCTCCTTGGGTCATTTTTTATTGCTTCTCTGCATATTCCTGAAAGTTGGGTGATAATCTGGTAGCCGCTTAAGGATCATGCAAGCGCATACTGTTGTGTTGCTTCAAGTGTTTCTGGAGAGACATCTATCTTGGTGACTTGAAAACTTCGAAGCTTTTTTACCAGTATCGTGAAAATGTTGGGTAAGCCCCTATGGATAATGGCATCTACCTAAAAGTCGGCTTAGGAAGTGAATAGGTCGCAATGCATTGGGGTCGCCTAGAAATTAACGTTTTCAATTTTTTTCGAATGACATTGTTTTATTCTTTATTTTATGCGCTTTCGTTCTGTATAACTGAATTGTATTCTTTCTTTGATAAGCTTACATGAGGTTGGTAAACAGGTTTATTTCAGGTAACGTTTCGACGTCTTCGGCTTCATCAGAACCGATGATCCGAGTCGATAGTCCACGGTTCTTCTTCGTCTCGATGTGGTGTCTTCGTCTTCGTATCGAGTTACGTCTTCCTCAGCGGACCATCTCTCGAAGATCGCTAGTGGAAGACGCAACTCGATACGAAGGCGAAGACGCCACATCGAAACGAAGAAGAACCGTAGACTATCGACTCGGATCATTGGCTCTGATGAAGACGAAGATGTCGAAACGTTAGCCGAAATAAATCTGTTTAGCATCCCCGTGTAAAATTATCAAAGAAAGAATATATATTGATTAGTCACACGAAGATTAAAAGGAAGTCGGTTTTGAAATAACTGAATTGCGATATAAATTGTGTTTCTCACAGATTTTAAAAGTGTGAAATCCCAGATGCTAAAACAGCAATTTCGGGAAATCTACTCCTGTGAATTGAAATTCGACTGCAATGAAGCGCGATGGGCTTGAAGCAGTGAAGAGATAATGGCCTGAAGAAGTGTTAACGAATACAACGGTGACGTTCGCTTCAAAAATTCCGTCGTCTCGAGCACGACGTTGATGACGAAGAAAGTCGCAGACCTCATTTAGCTTTTCGCAATTATAGATTTAAGGTTTTCGTGGAAGTAAATGCATGGACAACTGTTTAAGAACTCGAAAATAGTTTGGCCTAAACATCCGTTGAACCAGCTGGGCAGCGAACTTCAGACTCATCCACTATACTCCCTAAACCTTTCGGCTACCGAGTACCAATTGTTTATATATCTTGACAGCTTTCTGGGTGAGACGAATCAAGTCGGTTAACAACTTAATCGCCTTCATATGCCCCGAATATCGAGCAACCGGAATATAAAAACCTTTTTGTTAGCAAAACGCAAATTTTGATGTTTTCTATCTAGAATAGCAACGTTTATTCTGAGCTGAGATATATCACTTAAAAATGCATTGAAATCATGCATTAATTTTCGAACATACTAGTGTGATGGCTTTGCGATTTAGTTTCTGGAATTGAACAGCTTGTTCTCCTTTCCATAAAAAGAGGAATCCCGATTCCGATGTGACTTTCGATGTGAATGGAGCGAGGAATATCAGACATGGTCCTGGAAGCAATTTCACCATTGAAATGGCCGATGATAACCTTAGAAAATAGAAGGTGTAATCTTCACTGCGAAACTATCCCATACCTGTGAAGACTGCTAGCTTTGTGCTCGTTATAGCTTGATGTTGCGACACTGGCCAAACCAGCACTAATCTGTACCCCTCTTCGACCGTTAACATCAGACCTGGATCATCAGTTGCTTATTCTCTTCGGTCCGCTAAGGGCACTAAGTACTCGCATTGAGGTTATGGGGCTCTAGATTTTTTTCTTATAGGACTATGTACACTCGTTTCGTAGCTAGTCGAAACCAGATCAAAAGAGTTCTGGTGAGACTATAAAAGTCGTTCTAACCACCTAACGATTTCGAAAAAGCCCTTTTCGAAAATGTTCACTTACCGGTAATTTGACTAACAACTGTTGTTTCATTTTAATCCTTAAGATGAATGATGATTATCTTATGGAAGAATGTGTGGATATAAAAAGTATCAACGGTGACTCAACATAAGCTGGAAAGTACTTCCAAATGCGGGGAGCAATGAATTTCCATGATGGACTATAGTACCACGTAGTAAATAGCAGCGTACATATCATTCGTGCCCCTAAAACGATCTAGCCAAGTCTTCTACAATCCTATCATGTTCAAAACCCATCAAATCCTCAATTTATTGAGGAAAGATTTTTCCATAGGCTAAGAAGCAAAAAGTCCGCAGCCGAAAAAAAAAATTACGCGTAGTACGTTGGAACACTCACGAAGGCAGGGCGGCATAGGTTAACGCAACGTTTGCGCGGTTTCTAGGCCTCTGATATCTGCCACATGAGCCTAATTCTTCGCCGTTACGGGTGTGCTGCTTTTCCGAAAATAGACGATAATTCTTCAGTAATTAGAGGATTTGAGGAGTGAGAAGATCGAAGGACTGCAGAGCTTACTTTGTTATATCGCTTTATAGGTATGTACGATCTTATTTACCGTGCTCCAGAAGTCCACCGTAAAGACACTGTCTCAGCATTTCCAAAGGGTTTTTCAACTTACACCGTTTACTTCAGTATTTTTCATACAGTCGCATTCAATACAGTAATCGTAATTCACTACTAACGAACAGAATAGAAATCACTGACCGGCGACATATGGACGCTTGGATGGGCCGTCCCTACTGGTTGTGCGGACCCCAATATAATCTCCACTTTTTCAGAGTTATGCTGGTTTAACCATTATGGTTCCCTGGGGTCCTGAAGTCAGCCCAGCCAAAGTCTGCCCCCCACGTCGTCACATAAACCATCAGGAAATGACCCATATAGAATAGCACCGATTCTGCGAAACAACACTGCCCCATGCTCTAAGAAACATTTATTTCGTCTCGACCATTTCAATGGCGTTGTTTACACCTTCTTCTCCTCGCCAGAGGTTTTCATTGGGCCATCTCGGTGCTTTTGTGGTAAGCAATGGGATAACTCGTGGGAGCAACACAAGCAGAATTTCGAGAAAACAGTGTACGAGTGTTGGTATGCTCATTGACCAGAAACAAAAAACTCTAAAAGCTCAGAAATCGTGCACCGCAAGTACTTTAGTGACCATGAAAACTTAGATAATTGGACAGTCCGTTCTTGCTAGTTGTGCGGGCGCCAGCACAACCTCCATTTTTTTCTTTTTGGAGACCTGCGGTTGAGCCATTGTAGTTCCCTGGGATCTCAGGGTCATTCTGGCCAAAGTCTGCCCCGGGGACCATTAGAATAGTGTTTCAATGATCTGCGCCTCGGAATACATTTACTTACAAGTGACATTCATTTATTTTTTGAACGCATACTAAAGCAAGATCTTCAAGTAAAAATGTGTGAAATGTTTCTGTTACAAATAGTACGCCACTATATAGCATAAGCATCATAGCGTGATGGAGTTTACGTGAACAACTTATGCACTGTGAATGTCTTGACAGGAAAATCGCACTGAAAATCGTTTGGAGAAAAAGAATGTCAGCGTTGAAGAGAGATAGAAGGCAGCAGAAAAAAAGGCTACACTAGGAAAAATCAATATTTGCTGTAGACAGTCAAAAATTCCGAATTAACTAGAAATCCAACGATATACAAACGCGATGAGCACAGAACTGCACGCAGATACGGAACTACAGACAGAGCTCAAACACCACGTGGACCGTGCATATCTATCTAATCGACGCTAAAAATCCATTAAGGAATTCGCTTCAATGAATACTAAAAATTCAATTTACGACATATACACCTTTCACACTTAACAAACTTACCATCTGCATTCGTTCGAATCAAGAAAGGTAGGGTATAAAAAGCAGTCAACAATTGATTTGAACGTTAGGATAAGACGAAATAGGCAAAAGAATACACAGGTTTACAGTTTCTCTAAGTAGAAGAAAGCTAGGTGATTCGAAACAGTTTCATCCAAAAAACAAAGAAGTCACGTATATTTCTCATTTTACAAAACAATTATCAGTCAATATTTGAATTCAGCCGTAATTAGATAGAGTGAAGTTATATTCATTGCTGATTGACTAATAGGTCAAATAGCACCGGACGACACGGCCTTAAGCTGTAGTCTCCTGACGCACTTCAATCTTCTCGACGGTCATGTCTGGATTCATTTGAGTAGCTTCCATAATAGCTTGACTCAATTCCTGTATTAAAGGAGTCATTACAGCAAATCTTTCACTTTACAATCATAAATACTGAACGGTTATCAGTATAAATTTGGTATATATGAAACAAGCGAAATAAGCACATACAGTATAATTGATTTCCTCCACAAAGTCTAGCTATTATTTACCATAAGACGAGGACTGCGGGTGTTTTCTCTCAAAAACAGCGAAAATACTGCACCAAATGTCAAAAGTGTTATATTTTGTCTATAATTAGAACGAATCCTAATCAGCAGTTACCACAGCAAAATATGTTAACGAATGAATCCTCGTACATGTTCGCTTGAGCAACTCAGTGATTTAAACGATTACAAATCACAAGTGAATAAATGCGCATCAATAAACACTTAAAGTTCGAAGTTTACTTACTTGGATACTCAACGACCCGCACTCACTGGTTGTGCAGGCCCCAGCATATTCTCCATGTTTCGGAGTTTTGCTTGTTTAGCCATTGTGTTCCTCTGGAGCCCCGAGGTTAGCTTGGCCAGTTTACCCCACCTCTTCACCACCACGGGTAGTCGCCTCTCTAGTGGATCATAGGGAGATTTGCCACCATGCGACTAGTTTGACACCACGACGGTAGTGGATCCTGGTATTGGTATACTCTTAGCTGGGTTTCCTGACGGAAACGCCGAACTCCACCTCATCATGGGAGACTCTGTCGGGAGGATGAAAACCCTGTATATCGCACTTGTCGTATTGCAAGGTCCGAAGCTGGTTTTTGCAAACTGCTGATAATTTTTCGGTCAGTAGATCTGAGTTAAAAACGTGATCGGCTTAAAGAGGAGACTTTTTATATCTATTTAAGAGTAGGCATACGTCTTTAATACTGTTATTTGACTTTTAAGGTTCCTTAGAATTGACAGATGAAAAAAAGAGTTAAATCTAAATCTTTAAGAACTAAACGGAACCCCAAAAGATAGAAACATCAGTAACGCGCATGGGAATATCAACATGTTCTGTTGGACAGAATACGATTTGTTTATTTGCTCTCATTTCCGAAACATTTCACAATTGTAAAGAAGAACGACCTTTACCCTGTAGGCAATAATTTGTAGATTCTAATGTCACTTTGTTGCAATTAATAAGTTTCAATATGAGATAAGGCAGTTTGGTTTAAAGTTTAAAGTCATTGCTATTTTCGCACAATGTGGGTGCAAATGAACTCATGTTGGACACTAAGTGTTAACACTAAAACTGCTTTCAGCAGTGACCATAAGTGAGGTTTGGTGCACAAGAATTCAGTACGAAATTCTGGGACATGTCGCAAGTTACACAACGACTCACAGCAGAATCTTTCTATATAGATGCTAAAAAAATTCATGTAACATTATTTTTCATGACGTAATATGGACTGAAAATTCAACAAGGCACACCACTCTACACGTTTCAACAACGTTCTGCTTTGAATTTGCCTCAGTTTCCTATTTATTGCATTCAGATTTCAACTAATGGGATCATCTGAAAAAGATGGTTGTAGTATAAACTGTAGAGTTAGGGCACTAGAAACTCACGGCGTCATGGTCGATTGGCTCGTCCGAGAGGATCGTAACACGGTGCTCGACATGCGTCTCAATAATGCCATCACGCTCTGTTTTATAAGTGTATGTTTCCACAGTTCTATTCCCAGATGTTAACGTTTTGCACGACACAAACTCGCCGATATCCTAAAATTATTAGACATACGTATCCTCATATTGAAATTTGATAAAATCACCTTCAAAAATAAAACTTTTCATCATAGAGCCTAATTCTCTACTGAGAATATTTAAGAAATTTGCACTTAGACAATCACATTAGTGCTAACCTAAAACTCTCTATTTCTCCAAAGAACGAAGACTTTAATTTTAAAAGAAACGACCTTGAAACTGTTTCAACGATTTAACGTATCATTTACTGCCTATTCTTTTTAACGGCAGGTTATACATTGTGAAATATAACTTCAATGACGCTGAGATATTTGCAAAACTCCGGACAGCAGGTGTATGCGGTGGGGAACGAACACGCGCTGTTGTCCTTACCGGGGAGCAGCGCACTTCACCACCGCACCATCCGGGTCCTTCGTTTTGCCTGCTTCTCAGCTAGTTCTATCGATCTTTTGCCATCAGCAATCACCCGTCAACGGGATTGATCTGGGGAGCCCAAATCGGCAACGAACCCAGTTAAGCTGATACAGGTAAAACGAAGGGCTCGGATGGTGCGGTGGTGAAGTGCGCTGCTCCCCGGTAAGGACAACAGCGCGTGTTCGTTCCCCACCGCATACACCTGCGGTCCGGAGTTTTGCAAATATCTCAGCATCATAGATGTTTCAACGATATTTCGAACAAGGTTTTGGTATCGTGGATACAAAACCACTGCAGAAATATATCGAAGACATTCCAGCAGAACTCTCCCACAGCGCATAATCCCCACATGGTTGGTGGTACTCATTTCCTTGATGTGGTTAGCAAGGCAAAAAGTTTTCATACTAGTTGTATCCTAATCCGCTCTATTAACATGCCCAGCCAATTTATGAAAAAAAGGATTGTGTTAGTGATTTTGTTCGTATTTTTTTGAGCAAACGCGAGGTGTTATTGTTCTTTGTTCACGATTAAGCTGACGTTTCGGCGAATTTCGCCTTCTTCAGAGCCTGGAAAGGTCAAGTTGATAGCAACTCACTCGGCCAGACGCCTCTATAACCAAACAAAGAAACCCCAAACCAAGATTTCAATCACTTTGAACACAGCTTTGCACACTCACCGCTTTCTATGAGGTCTCCACTAAGTATGTCACGTAGAGACCAACCGCACAGAAATCACGTGGAAGTATAATGTGCCCCTCACATCAGAAAAGCAGTTTTATATACTGCCCTATATCACGCGTGATAATGAGGCATTCTTCCCTGCGTTATGGATTCGTTATGAAGTATGTGTCGCGATCCTCGCACGCGAATCAAGAACACAGGCGCGAAAAACTCTCGAGGCACTCTGGATTAATTCCAGAAATCCGAAAATGAACCGCACGGAAGAATGCCTCATTATCACGCGTGATATAGGGCAGTATATAAAACTGCTTTTCTGATGTGAGGGGCACATTATACTTCCACGTGATTTCTGTGCGGTTGGTCTCTACGTGACATACTTAGTGGAGACCTCATAGAAAGCGGTGAGTATGCAAAGCTGTGTTCAAAGTGATTGAAATCTTGGTTTGGAGTTTCTTTGTTTGGTTATAGAGGCGTCTGGCCGAATGGATTGCTATCAACTTGACCTTTCCAGGCTCTGAAGAAGGCGAAATTCGCCGAAACGTCAGCTTAATCGTGAACAAAGAACAACAACACCTCGCGTTTGCTCAAAAAAATACGAACAAAATCACTTGATCAATGCCGCGGTTAATAGAAAGTCGATTGTGTTAGTCTCTATATAAGGAGCCGACTATCTAAAACATCCTTTCGCTTTTCGAATACTATCATAAACTATAAAACGTCAAAAATTAATCTTCCTTCCACGGAATGTTATCAGCAATGTTATTAGAGCGGTCTAGAAACCTTCGAAAAATCGAGCAACCCAACCTCGTAGTTCGAACCTATGAATAAAATCCTATACGATAACCCTTTTTGGGAACACAGACACCAGGAAGAACACGGGTGAACCAGAAGTCGAAACTGCACAGCGAAAGCAAATATGGATGGCTCTTACAAATGTTCCTCGGATAACTCAAAACCTCAACATCTCATCCCACGTCAACAGCACACGAGTGGCCCTACTCGTAACAGCAGTACGGCTCTGAAGAAAGCAAAGTAGTCGAAATATCAGCCATTGAACAATGGCAACAACAACCTCAACAACGGAAGTTCGTAAGAACATATATATATATATATATATATATATACATATATATATATATATATATATACGTATCCCTCAGATATCTAAGGAAGTCCAGAATCCTTCACATATCTACGAAAGTTCAGAGTTTGAAAGCAATCTGCAACGTGTGCCCCTAAATACACTTAAATTGCTACTTCAACGTAGAATCACTCAAGCGGCAGTCAGTCACGAACTCATGGCCGAACCTGCTAAACTCTACAAAAGCTGACGACAAAAGATCAGAAAGGAGGTAAAGCAGCGATAATAGTTAAACCCGCAGGGGTTGATATGAGCATCCGCAACAGCCACAGAGAGATTGTCAAGAACGTGATAACATGACCACGATCATCGATCTGAGGAGGCCAAATCGAGCAATCGTTACTTCCCGAAACGTAACGAAGAAAATCGTCCATAACTTCCGCTCTGATCTGACCTCTTCAGCAAACACGTCCTCTTTTTTTATCTATATCAAACGAAGTGGGGACGATATGTCTTTCTCTTTTCTCAGACCTGACGAGCTGGCCATTAGATCGATGAAGAACCTAACAATACGCTGCCCTGACATTATTAGACCCGAACATCTGAAGAACTTCCTCGCAATCTCCATCAACATACTGACTATGCTTCCCACACAATACATGTCAGAATGTAAGACTGTTGTTCAATAGATGACCAACAAGACTTTGTTACTGTTCGATAAGGATGAACTCCACAGTATCGGCAACTATCACCTAATCTCCCTGGTGTGCGCCCTCTACAAACCACTCAATTCATCCCCACCCTGAATGAAAGAACACTAAACGAAGGACAACCATGCAAGAACGATCGAATGCATCAAACTGAATGAAGTGTCGTAAGGGCAGGAGAGACTAATATGTCTCACTTGGTCGACGATAATACGGCTTTCGGCTCAAGAGAAACAGTCATAAAATTCTTAAGTACGGAAAGCGTCACTACTTATTATACAGATCTATAAAAATTATCCATGGCCTACACAGAATATCGTTATTCCACAAAATATATCAATGATGTCAAGATGGGAGCTTAATAAAGCGATATCATCTTATTAAAATTATTTGTATTCACCCTCGAGCAGGCCATGCGATAACTGGAAGGAGATAACATATAAGCGCAAAAGTTGATGGAGAACAACTACATCATCTATGGCTTTCTCAATAGATCACTGTTATAAAATCTACGCACAAGAAGCAAATGCTGGCTGATTTGGAAAACGATAAAGTAAAAGTTGACGACCACCTGAATTTCAATCGTTTCTGGGTGCGCCATTTACGCCCAGTGAAAGAATATCTCTTCAAATGCTCCAATTTTATCTAACCGAGTCGAGAAGTAAACTCATCAAATTACTAAGGTCTAAGATGAAGAAGAAAGCAAATGGTGCGAAAAGCCTTCACAGAAGTTCGTTCACATTCACATTTTCAGCTCCAAGTTTCATCACGCTTCTATGTACGCCTTGTAAATCCGGATCCTGAGTAGGAAAAGCAAAAAGTCACTAAGCGTTATCAAATGCGTTATTTACAACGCGATGCTAGAAGTAACCCGTACCACGCAAGTAGGAGAGGGAAACCAAGGCTCCATGTCACGAAGTATCACATCGTACATTAGAAATGTAGCTGCATATGCCAAGATGTCAGATATAACATGGATCAGCCACGAAAACTGGTGGACGAAATCAGTTAGAAAATGGGCCGCGGGATTTTATGCGCACAGCAGGAAGGTCATCGAATCAATGATCACGAAGAACCTAAAAGAAAAACGTGATACTTTTTACGCCACTAAAATCTGCTAACACTCTTACACGGAACTAGGAGCAATGAAGAATTCACAATAACATGCAATTGGCTTTCTATGTCGTTTTGGTGTTGTTGTTCAACTAATCGCAAGATTCACTGACAACACAATAATCGCTTCCGTAGAAAACAATGTCGAATAACAAGGCAACAAACTTCTCTCTGATTCATACTGGGTTGCAGCTGCTTCTGGTAAACCAAACAATCTCGGAAGGTCGTCTCGGCTTCCCAAGAAAGTTACGATTAAAAATCAATATGAGAAAGACGACAGATTTTCAATCCTGAACTCTTGCAAAACAATGAAATGGATGGAAGAAGTGGTGGAACACATATGACATGTAACGAGCTACTTAGTGTTTTGTACCCAGAAATGGAAATATATATATATATATATGTACATATATAGCACAAATATATATTGTACACTACATATATGTATATATATATATACATATATATATATATATATATATATGTGTGTATAGCACAAATTTATCTGTTGTGCAAAAGAACAACAGTTCTTGTACAGTAAAATGCAAGATCTATCACGAAATATGACACAGTGCATATTAGCATTCATGTTGTCCTTTCTGGTTAACTGAAGCAAAAAATAAGCAAACAACATGGAATTGTCTATAGTATTCAGCTTACACGATAACAAAAAAATGTTCATATTGTTGAAATCAACCAGTAACCTCATGATGCTGCCCGTTCCGATTAGTGTCGTAAGCGACAGATCGCGTGTGAGTCTCAACAACATGGGGAGATTCGGCAACGGAGCCGTTCATGGCAGTCACAGTGAGTCCCAGCGGTGTGGTCTCTTCGCGCGTACGTTCAACGTTAACAATGCCCTGAATCGACTGGACGATTGACATAAAAAAGTGTTGCTGTCGTGGAAGAGACACAAAATTGAAACTGACAGGCTCACAATTCGGCGGAATAACGTAATTTTGGAAAGTTTGTTTCTGTACAGTATGCTTGACCTGCGAGGTTTTCAATGTCCTCCTGCAATCGGAATACTGCAAGGATAAGATTCCCATATTGTTTCAATTTTTATCCAATAAAAATATGGAGTACTAATTTCTCTTCCAGTCAAAATTTTGCTCACAAGTTTTTCATACACAAAATAATATATCAGGAAAAGTGAAAAAAAACTAGAGAAATAAACATATGGATAATATGAGTTCTATATATATATATATATATATATATATATACGTATATGTATATATACATATATATGTATTTATATACATATACATATATATATGCACATGCATATATGTATATATACATACATATGTATGTGTATATATGCATATTCTCCCTTTCCAATTCCCATTTTCACACTCTACGTACGTGATCTTGTTTCCTTTCTCATCATACTCAGTTGTCACTTCGTCGGGGAGACTATTCGACTCCTGCCATGTGGAAATTGTCGTATGTGGCTGACCGCTCTCCTAAAGAATGGAGTGTGAAAAGGTCGAAAAACAACACTTTGAAATACTGAAATAACGCAGAACGTTTATAACTGATTTAAAATAAGCTTTACAATATGTCACAGCCGAACTCAACACTGCATGAAGTTTACAAATATTCTAAATCAAAAATGGTTGAATAAAAGTGGCAGAATTCAAATGCATACTCAGTAGGTGCACTCCATCTTCTCATCGCGGTGTGATAAACAACCTAAGGCGTTTTTTTTTGAAAGCCTCATAGAGAACACGATGTAACAAGGAAGTACAACTTCTCAACAAGGAAGTATGAGAAGAAATACAGTGCAAATTATAAGCAGTACAATGTCCCCATCAAGCACGGACAATGAAGCGAACAAAAAGCAGAGCAATATGACAACCTCCAAGCACATCCAAAACCGATCTTTCTCAAGCAAACTGTTGACCTACAACTTACTAAAAAAAATGCAACGAAGCACAGCGTGCAGAAATACCGAAGGAATCTCTGGCTATCAATATCAAATATCAAGAAGCCAAACATACTAATGGCTCTTTCATACAGGACAACGCCACAACGCAGAACGAGTAGCGGTGCAACACTGTACCTCGTAAGAAAGCGGCAGTGGTGCCAATGCACGCACTGTTACCGTGCGCTCCGCATGTTCCAGCTTTGGACAGCGCAGATTTAGCCGTTCGGCTTCAGCTATCGTCGACGCCAAAGACTAAACTTAGCCAGTAATAACTCTACAGTGTTACAGTGTTGTCCTTTCAATGATACGCAATGTACATAAAAGTTTTCGAAGAACCTACGAAGGAATATTCTACCATTAGGTAATGCCGAATTATAAAATGGAGTTCCATCAAAATACTGTTTCAGTTGAAAAGGACGAATGAGGTGATTTTGGCGGACACCTAATATGAGGCAATAGATTCAAAGAAGTATCAGTCTGAGTTTTTTCGTCTGAAAGAATGTCTCACCGTTCTAAAGATGAACCTTGTACTTTACACATCATTCACATCAACTGGTGTACTATTAACACAACGATTAACAGCAGCATTTACCAGCAAAAATTAATCAGAATTTGGATCAACACACTGTTTGACCGAAACACTGCATCTCTGTAGAAAATACCTTGCGCAAAATGCGCGGGCAAATGAACTGGAAATTATTTAATGTTTGGGAAAAAAAACCACACTACTGAGACTGACAGAAAATAATGACATAACTGTGACCATACTCTTGTAAACGGGCATTGTTAAAACATCACAAAGCAAGTTGAGAAAAGCAAGAAATAGAGAAACGTACCGGGTTTTGCGGATCAACCCTCGGTGACACGCCTTCTCCTTTGAGATGATATTTGAGTTCATTTGTTTCTTGACGTACAACGCGCCCATCTTTTTCTCCTGGATCAACGTACCGTTGCAATGTGACACCTCCACTCTTTAAACATAGGACGGCTTACAGAGCAGCATTGCGAACAAAATAGAGCACTCAAAAACAACAAAGAAAAAAGAGAAAATATAGAAAGAAAATGAAGGTTAGTTTACAATTAAATTTGCTTTAGAAGAAAGACTATGTGGTAAAAGTATGTACAGACTTGGATTATGATAATAAAGAAAAAAAGTCATTTCTCAAACACATGATGGCTTCGAAAATCACAGTTCTGCTGGATTCAGACAGTGAGGTCAATATTTTCTTCTTCTAGTATCCTGTCAAGAACTGCATTGTCCAACTACTGAGTCAAGCGCTAATCACTAGTAAAACAATGCAAGTTTTTCCAAATCCTCCCAAACGTTTACCGCCTTATAGTGGCTGATGGAAGGAAATTCCCGTTACGAAATGTCGGAGGTGTTGGCTTTGTCGTACACCAATCTATTTCCCATCTAGTTACCTTATAACAGAATCCTACCATCGCGCTTAGTCATTCCTCGTCTCCAACTTGCGCGTCAAGAGAAATTCAGCATCATCAACTGCTATTCACCAAATAGTACAGACGATGAGACCGACCTGGACGCATTTTACAACCAGTAAGAGGAGGTAATCAGCAACGAGAAGTCCCATAAATTCGTTGTTAGAAACTTTAATGCCAGATTACAAATTGCTAATGAAAGTGAATGAAGAATAGGGAAGTTCGGAATAGAACGAAATAAGAATGGAAGACTTCTCGTAGAACTCCTATCTGCAGTATAACTCTTCGATGGAAATCTTTTTCGAGAAGACTAAAAAGCGCCGATGGCCATGGAAGTCTCCTAACGGCAAGACTCAGGTACAGATCGATCGAAGTACCGTCTAACATGTTCGTCGAATGCGATGAAGCTATTCTGTGTTCTATGTGGTTGAAATCTTGGTTTAGTATTTTCTCCGTTTGGTTATGGAAGTGTTTGGCTGGGTAGAATGCGGTCAACTTGACCTTTCCAGACTCTGAGGAAGGCGAAAACCGCCGAAACGCCAGCTTGTTCGTGAAAAAAGAATAAAATAACACCTCGCTTTTGCTCAACAAGAATATAAAGAATTGTTTGATCAATGCCGAGGTTAACAAAAAGTCAGTAGTGGGAATTATTACGAGATGTGCAATCAATCCTGTCGGCACTCAACAACTAAGGAGTGTACCGATCCTGTGTACGAACACTAGCAGACTGTTATCGGAACTGCAGCATAAATAGAGCTTTTCCATCGACCTCCCACCATACTCACAGGAAAAAACGTTCGACAAGGCGGCATAATATCGCGAAAGATACTAACTACCGTACTGCAGTGGATCATGAATTCACTCGATTGGGACGAAGAGCGGAATAGGTATTGATGGGAAGTTTTCACTGTCTTCGTTTTGTGGATAATATTATCGTCTTTTCGAGGAGTACCAGTAAAGCAGAGACGATTCTAAACAAGCGCAACGAAGCGGGACAAAATATTTGCGTGCGTATAAATAGGACGAAGAATCAGTTAATGAAGAACTAATGATGCGAAGGCGAGCAAATCGAACTGTATGGTTCCCTTACTAGTGGCACCACTTTGCACGTGTACCGTGGATGTTCGATGAACATGGAGAACAACATGAAGGAGGTATTGGACGGAAGAGAGCAAAATGAGCCACATTAGGGTCTCTCATAGAAGCCATCGGCCAACTAAGTGTCCCAAGACTCCGCGTTCACCTTTTCAATTCAACAGTCCTCGCAACGCTCCCTTATTCAACAGAAACGTAGAATGATACTTCAACAACGTCAAGAAATTTGTGCACCACTCATAGAGCGCTTGAACGATGTTTCGGAAATTAATAGCTACTCACGACGTCTAGTCGGAATGTCCAGCGCAGATCTTCGAAGCCTAGTCTTCGAAGTCTTCAAAGTCTTCAAAGTCTTCGAAACCTTCGGGAACCAGGAGAACATAAGTCGTTAGCAAAACACAGATGGGCCTGTCTCATAATAAGAAGAAACGTGAGCTAAGAGAACAATGTAGTAGGCTCTAAGAGAATGCAGATGTCCTCCTGGAAGACCACCCAAACAATAAGCTGACAAGTTCATGGCTAAAACCAACAATTTGTATTCGCAGAAGGAAAATTTGGCCTTGCAGACGTCACTATGTTCGAAGCAGACCACCACTATGGACGACGATTATGCAAGAGAGAAATGAATGGAAATTATGCTGGCACCCGCACGTCCAGTAAAAACGAGCACTTCAAGTAATCAAGTACGTTTGCGGTTTTCTCTACTGGGAGAATGGAAGAAATATTTAAAGAAACAAAAAACTTTAATATCTGTGGCATAAAGAAGTAACGGCATGAAAAATAAAGCTTTTCAACTAAACGCGAAACTGGCTCCACTCGAACCTCTACTGGCATGATGTGAACTTGATTTTTCTCATCACCAGAACTACTGGACGAATCACTTGAATCTGTTTCTTTCGCACCTTTCTTCTCTTTCTTCGCCTTCTTGGCAGAACTCTAAAAACTGTTTGAATGAAAGTGAATAAGAAAACCTACCTATCTTTTATACAGAGGCAAACGGCTTTTAGCACAGCCACCAAGGAAGTGGGATAAACACAATTGGCAGTCAAATTTAGTTTACTGCTCAAGTACCGTTTTGAAAAAAGGAAATAAGCGCTACATACGTGAGTACTACACCTAACAAAACGAAAATACACAAACAAACAATGTGTGCAGTTAAAGCCGTCTGTCATACTGTATCTGTACTACAGTAAAATGTGCCCATGGACCAATTAGGGTCATACTTCAAAAAAGAGCATACTTCACTAACGTGTTCTACCTAGCAACAAAGGTGAAGATGAGGCTTGCCTCCACGCTAACCAAACGTATTACAACACCCATGTGTTAAGACTATAACCAAACACTAAAATGGGAGGTAATACGACAATATCAACACAACGAAAACCAAACTGCGTACAAAAGCAAGCAACCACAGCGAAAAAATACACGAACGTGCAAATAACCCTAAATGGGGGCAAAAATTAAAGTGCAAACCTTGATTCCGAACCGGCCGAAGAAAGACCGCGAAGGAGCCAACGGTGGAGTAGCAGTGAATACGAGACCATCAGAATCCTCGGAGATGGCATGCAGCTCAGGTTCTGCCAAAGCAAACGTAGGTTCCAGTTGAACTCCCATATGACGATGAAGTCGAACCTCAATCCAATTGTCGCTTTCTAACATCCTTCCTTGTAAACTTCTACCATGGCTTCCCGAATCGGAAGTGGGACAATGTGGTTCAGAAATGAAACGGCCGTACGAATCGTTCTCAGAAAAGGTCAGTCTGGAGTTACTTTCTACGTCGCAATTCTCTCTTAAACCATCAAAAACAATATGGGATAAGAAACGGTAGCAAGGAAGATGCTCAGTATTATTCGTTCGATTTGGTTCACCTAAGGGTCGAATGCATGCACCACTACTGTGATGCGCTGATGACGCTAAAGAGTTAATATGGTCTTTCTGAGTACGTAGCTTCCGAAATTCGAACAGTCCACCTGAACCATAATTCCCCCACATTTTCAGCTTTCTCGAATAGGAACTCTCTTCTGAGGTTTCAACGGTAGGTTTGCACACGGCCGAATCTGGAACGTCGAAAGGAAGCTGGTCAATATCATTTTGACGATTGATGTCATCCAACGGTCCAACATATTTATCACTACTAGGATATGCTGATAATGCTAAAGAGTCCTGCTTACGACTACCTGGTTTCCAGAATCCAAGAAGTCCAGTTGAATCCTCACTCTGCCTACCTTTAACTTTAGTCGAAACGGAATCATCTGCTAACGCAATGTGCGGTACGCGCGCAATTAATCGAATCTGCCGCGCAGTGTCTTCTCCGCTAGCTTTCTTCGACGTTGAAGCAATGAAATCACGGTGAGACTTCGAATCCTTTGCAGAATCCCACGACTGACCATGATGATACACTTGAACATGCTTTTCCAACGGTGTTGACAGTAAATCGGACTCTCGTGTTGTTCGTTCAAGAGGGCCGTCATACGACGTAGACGCTATGCCATACGTCTCTGGCCGAACTTGATCTTTCTCAACAACTTCTTCATCGCCGTCGTGTCTCCAACGAGCAATCAAACGCACACGATGATGAGTGCTATCATAAGGCTCAGCGGTAGGTTTGCACACGGCCGAATCTGGAACGTCGAAAGGAAGCCGGTCAATATCATTCTGACGATTGATGTCATCCAACGGTCCAACATATTTATCACTACTAGGATATGCTGATAATGCTAAAGAGTCCTGCTTACGACTACCTGGTTTCCAGAATCCAAGAAGTCCAGTTGAATCCTCACTCTGCCTACCTTTAACTTTAGTCGAAACGGAATCATCTGCTAACGCAATGTGCGGTACGCGCGCAATTAATCGAATCTGCCGC